GCAGGCAAGAGCCAGGCCGCTACCACCCCCACCCCAGAGCAACCAGCGCCTTTGCCCCGGGCCCGAGGCTCCCACCTGCGGACTCGACGTTGCTCCTGCAGCTCCTGGCTCGACAAGGAGTGCGTCTACTTTTGCCACCTGGACATCATCTGGGTGAACACTCCCGGGTGAGCTACTGGAGGGATCCAAGAGGGGCTGCAGGGGGCAAGGGTGGGGGATGCTGGCATGCTGGGGAACCCCTAGCACACTGCAGTTCTCCCTTGGAGTTGGGCTAATAACAATAGCAATCAGCTATTGCTTCAGTTCCCACATGGGGGCTGCCTGAGCAAGACAGAGGGCTGTCTCGTGAGAATCCTGACAAAAAGCCTGGTCAGAAAGTGTTGGCTCCGTTTTCCAGATCAGGGTACTGAGGCTCAGAGAAGTTAGGTGCCTTTCCCAAGGTCACACAGTAAGGAGTAAGTGGTAGGTAGGAGGCTCCAGCCTAGGACTGCAGATGCCAGAGCGCACAGCGGCTCTGCCACGCTGCCTCTGCATAATCTTCCAAGAATAATATGATTAATGACAGCACCCATGTCTTGACTGTGCCAGGCCCTATGCCAAGCACTGCTGGTGTGTTATCACCTCGTGAACGCACCCCCATCCTCCCCGATGAAGCAGGGGCTGCTGCTGTCCCCAAATGACAGACAAGAAACCTGCCCCGTGTCACCCGGCAGAGCTGGGGTGGGGTCCCAGTGCTGTCTGTTCTGTCTGCACCCGCACTGCCTCCGGGCCACTGCATACTTCAGGTTGAAGTTTCTCTGTGTGTTTGTATTTTTTTTTTTCTTCTCCAAATTGCAAAAGACAAGAGAAGCCCGGCACGTAAGCGTGTGTGGAGCTAATCCGCATCCAAACACTGGCTCAGGGCGGGAACCCTGCCAGTCCCTGCGTGCTGGGTCTACCTGGAGCCTCCGCAGCTTCAACCACACCGTCTAAAATTAGCTCGGGCGTCCAAGGTGCTGGTCCGACCGGCCACAGGGCCCTGCCCTTCGCCTGGCCCGCTTCAGATAGACTGAAACTGAAATCGATCTCAGCCGATCTAACAGGCCTGTATACACACACGCACACGTGCAGGTCAGGCACACTCACCATTTTAAAGTTAAAACTCCAAAAGACACTTGTGTCACCCTTCCAGGCAAGCGGTGATGGGATGGAGGCAGCTTAGCTGTGAGCCTGAGTGTTCACTTCTATGAGAGGGCACTCTCTCCCTTCCTTCCAGACTAGCTGGGGGTCTTCTTTGAGAACAGGGGGACCAGCCTGACTCCATCAGCTCAAATTGCTGCCTGGGAGTGGAGAGGGGCAGGGAGGACAGCTCCCACCCTTCCTCCCCATGATGAGAGTCTTACTGAGCAGGACCGGGGTCGGGGGGTTGGGAGGGAAAGAGGCCCAGAGAGGGTAAGGGTCTTGCCCGAGGCTCCCTGGCAAGTAAGGAGGAAACTGCATGGGAATTCTTGAGGGCAGGAGCTGGTTACTTTTGCTGCCACCCTGGCGGCATGGATGGCTGTCCCAGTGTGCCGTGTGGACAGTCCCAGGTTGCCAATGCTCCTGGTTTATCTAATCCTCTCTCTGTCTCTCTCCACCCTACACCACTACCTTGCTGGCGGCCCGCCCACAGACAGACAGCTCCTTACGGCCTGGGAAACCCGCCAAGACGCCGGCGCCGCTCTCTGCCAAGACGCTGTGAATGCTACAGTGCCAGGGACCCCGCCTGTGCCACCTTCTGCCATCAAAGGCCCTGGTAAGTGGGCACCCAGCCTGCAAGGGGCCAGAGGTGACTTCTGGCCTGGACCTGCTCTGGAGGGCAGGGCGTCTGGGAGGCCAGCAGTAGTGTAGTGTTAGTCACCCAGTCATGTCCGACTCTTTGTGATCCCACGGACTGTAGCCTGCCAGGCTCCTCTGTCTATGGGATTCTCCAGGCAAGAATACTGGAGTGAATTGCCATTCCCTTCTCCAAGGTGTCCGGGAGGCCAGCAGAGGCGTGGCTAAATTGTGGAGGGGGGCGAGGGGAGCAGGGTCTTGGGGGTCCAGAGGCTGCCCTGGATTGTGGGGCAGCCTCCCTTCCTGCAGGGAGCCAGTCACCCTTGAATATTGCCCCCGCCACTACCCCCAGCTCTGGGGGCTTCTGAAAGCATTGCGTCCCCACTCCTGAGCAGGAGTAATTCTCCCTAGGTAACGGCTGAAGCAGCACAGGCTCAGAGAGGAAACGGGACTTGTCCTATCAGGCTACACAGCTAGTCAGACAGAGAACTGGGCCTTCTGCCTTAGTCTCTGGGCTTTGGGTTCGGACCTGAGGCTCGGGGAACTCTGGAGCTTTCTCAGTGGAGAAGCAGTAACTGGAGTTAGGAGGCCATGGCACCATCCCCGAGATGTCACAAAGCCTTTGCCAGTCTCTGAGCTCTCCGGACCTTCCTCCGTCCACACGGAGCATTGGGAAAGCAAACAGTGACATCACGCTCCCCTTCCTCCCGTTCCCATGACGGCGCATGAGAAACTCCTCCCTGGAGACCCCAGCCGTGGCTGCAGCCCTGCCTGTTTCCCTGCCGAGGGCCCTGCTTAGCTGCAGGTGGCTAGATTCTGGGAAGGCCAGCCACCCCGCTGCCTCTTTCTGAGGCTGAGAACACATTCCCAGTAGCTCAGTTTTCCTCAGGCCCCACCCCATCTGGGAAAAGAAGGATGCCAGATGCACAGGGTGGAAATGGATCTGCTCCTGAGGGCGGGTCGGGGTGGGGGGCTGGGTTGGGCCTGCAGCCAGGTGGCCTTGGGGCCCTGGACAGCCCCCCACTTGGGCCCTAATGATGTTCACTCAGGACTGAGGCGGTGGCAGTCCCAGTCAGCGGGTCCCCTGCAGCTGTGTTCCAGGATAGCAAGACTCGGGCCACGGCGGGAGAGCTCCTCCAGCGGCTGAGGTGAGGGGCGCCTACACCGATTGAGTGCCTTCTGTATGCCTTGCACATTTCCCTTATTCTCCATATGATACCTTGTGTCCTTATGGGGCAACCAATAGAAGCTCAGAGAGGTGAAGGTGTTTACCCAAGGTCACACAGCAAGCTACGGCATCTGGCTGACTCAAGAGCCTATGTTCTTAACCACTAGGCTCTTTGTTACCGCCAGGCCTGGAAGTGGACTTTTATTGAGGGTTTCAGGGTTTGCAACTGTGGAAGGTCCCCAAGTGTTCATTCCAGCTGTGTCTGAATCAAGCATCTCCCACATGCTGGGGTCCAAACGGACGCTACCCAGACTGTTCTCTCCCCGGGTCCCAGACTGGCCTGTCTCCCTGCCCTGGTAGCTACAGCATGGCTCATCTCAAGGCTTGGCACCCAGGAGGTGCCCATGAATGTTTGTCCAGCCAAACTGACTTAAGAACAGAAACCCACAGCCAGTCATGTGGCAGGGTGGCTGAAGGGGCAGCGTCTGAGCTAGAAAGTCCCAGCCCTGCCACGAGCAAGCTTTGTGACCTTGGTCTGTTCACTGACCTTCTCTGTGATTCTGGTTCCTGTCTGTGAGGCAGGGACAACGGTGCTATCCATCGCATGGGCTCGTGATAGGTTAGAGCAGTTGACATACATGAAGAGCCTCAAGAAAGCCCAGGCCCTATGGGGGCTCTGAAGGTTTTAGCCATCCCCAACTTCTGTCCCTGAAGTTCCGCAGGGCTGCCCAGTGCCGGGGTGCAGCCTAGCCCCTCAAAGGTCCACATCTCTGTGAGGAGGCGGAAACATAGGCAAAAAGACAGGATGACGGGCAAGGCAGCACCCAGGATATACTGAGGAACTGTCTTAAAAAAAATAAATAAATAAAGTGAAAGTGTTAGTCACTCAGTCGTATCCAACTCTTCGCGACCCCATGGACTATAGCTCACCAGACTTCTCTGTCCATGGAATTCTCCAGGCAAGAATACTGGAGTGGGTAGCCATTCCCTTTTCCAGGGAATCTTCCCGGACCCAGGGATCAAACCTAGGTCTCCCACATTGCAGGCAGATTCTTTATCATCTGAGCCACTAGGGGAGCCCAGGAAATGTCTTAAGATGAAAAAATTCAAGGTAAGGCTTTGCAAGTACTTGGCATTCTATAATCAGCCAGTCTGTACTCAGCCGCACACCATTTCAGGCCTGCGTTTATTTTACAGACCAAGAAAGGGGTTCAGAGAGGTTGAGACCCTTGCCCAAGTTCCCAAAGCTGGGGATCAGCCTCCCAGTTCCCAGGCTAGAATGCCTTAAGCCAGAGTGAGGCCACCTAGACGATGGCAGAGTCCCCACCAGGGTCTCAGCCAGATTCAAAGGACTGCTAGGATCTATACATATCTGGATTGGACCACCTTGATCTGGACCTTGAAGAATGGGAATTTTAGGACATGGAGTATGGAGTGAGCGGACGGCCAACAGCCTGAGGAGCTGCAGGGACAGAGGTGTGGAAGGGAGAGGGCAACCAGGGGAGGGCCACTGGGCTGTTCTTGGCCGTCCAGTCACCCTGGTAGCTCTTGATGTGGAACATCAGTTTTGTCAAAGCTCCTCGTGGGCAGAAAAGCTTCTAAATTGCCCCGGCCTCTCCTTGATGTTCAGACCTTGTTTTCAGGGTCAGCTGTGGTCACCCTCTGACCTCCTGGCCATGAATAAGGGATCCAGACGCTATGACCGATGCCTCTCACAGGCAACTCTCAAGTGATCTGTATCTCCAGAGATGCTCAATTGACCTCTTTCCATTCCAGGGTTATTTCTGCAACCAAGATCCACTTTGCTAGGCAACAGCAGAAGATGACGAGGGAGACCAGACCTACACACTCCAGGCAGAGGAAGAGATAGCTCTTGACTCTGGGAGAACTTTGGGAAGGAAGCCTGTGTGGATACAGGAGGAGAGGGGAATCCCAGAGCTGGGAGACCTTCCGACCTGTTTCCTAGGCCAGAAAACCCAGCTGCTGGAGCAGGCACAAGCTCTGGCCTCCTTGCCCTGGGGAGGGGGCCTCACTCAAGGCAGCTCCATGACACCAGGAAAGCTATCAGGCCCCGGGCTGCAGCGTGGCCTCCCACACTGGCTCCGGTTCCAAGGCCCTGCAGAACGGAATGGCATGCGGAATGTGCTAACCTGGAGGTGTCCTGTCTGGTGGCTGCGAACCAGGAACAACGTGCAATGGTGGGCACTCACACCTCAGCCAGCCCCAGAGGCCGAACAGGCCCTCCCAGGGTTGAAGTCCCGGCCGCCCCCCACCCCCCACCCCCAGTCTGCCCCCTCCAGCCCTCCCTCTCCAGTGTCCTTATTCTCCACTCATACCCTCAGGACACTCTTGGTGAGAAGGGCCTGCACCGCTTCACCTGTCTGTATATAACTTATTTGCTCTAAGAAATTTGATGATTCTGATTATTTATTTTAACGTATTTTTTTAGACTCTCAATTATTTACCTGCGAACTTGTGTTTGTAATAAACAACAAAATGATGCTCTAGCATTTGGTCTTGGTTGAGCAGGAGGTGGGAGGCACTTTTCAGGAAGGGGCTGCTTAGAAGTGAAGGGTACAAAGGAACAGGAGAAGAGAGCCTGAGGCAGGTGTGGAGCCCTGACTTCCACACCCCTGTGCCCGGCTGGGCATCGCTGGCTGCTGACCCACCCTCTCTGGACATTTGCCTATCATGTGCATGGACAGCCATTTGCAGCTTTGATATCCAGGGTTCCAGGACCTGCGTTTCTCTCAGGCCGGTAAGTGTTGGCCAGGTCTTTCCCCAGAGCATGTTTCATAGGAGCCAAGACTACAAGGACCCACTTCTGTTCTAGTTGCCACCCCTGAGATTCAGAGCAAACCTGTCCACTGAGGGCTGTGTGCTATTCCAAGGCTGTGTGCAGCCCTACTGGCCGGGGATGGCTGTTGTGATGGAGTCATAGGCTGGTCCTTGTCCCTCACCCTGGACTTGGACAGACCCTGCTGGGGGCGCTCAACACTTCTCTCACTAAAGAAGCCCAGGGCTCTAGCACTGGCTTGGCCGATCCTGCCAAGGCCCCAGGAAGCTGCTCACCTGAGTCCCAGGGACAGCCAGAAGCCAGGGCTAACCCCGCTGGCAGCTCCTGAGACCGACAGCCTCCACTGCTGCCAAATCCCCCTGCGAACAAGCTGTTCCCTTTCCCCTGGCCGGCCTCTGCTGGGAATGGTACGCTGTGGCCTGAGCCAGTTATTGAAAAATAATTATTTACACACTACTCTAAGCCTGCCTTGTCCGTGGAGCCAGACTCCCTCCTGGGAGAAGAACATGTTGATGCATATTGGACTCCTACTGTTTACTGGCATTTTATGAAGATAAACTCCCTTCATCCTCACGACATGACAATCTCATGATATAGGTACTTTCATTATCCCCATTTTACAGATGAGGAAACTAATGCACAGAGAAGGCAACTAATTTTCCTGGGGTCACGCAAGTAAGTGGCAGCATCAGGATTTGAACTCGGAGTCTATAGTACACATGTCTATATGTACCGACTAAATATTTGTTGATTGAATTCATGGATCCCCATTGTAGTATGACATTGAACAAATCTTCCTCTGTCTGAGCCTCGTTTTTTTTAATGTATAAAATGGGAAACAATAGTCTCCACGTTGTAGAGCTGGTTGTGAACCCTAAATGGATGAGTTATGGTGCTGGGCTCAGTCCTGGGCCTGATGAGAGGCAAAGGCTGAGTGTCAGGCCGTTAGAGGTGATGATGTAACAAGAGGACAGCCACAAAGACGCAGGCCCTGAGTTTCCGGGAGCCTGGAGATAGCTGGTGTGGAGAGACAGGGTCAGAGAAAGATGCATGACTCAGGTGTACTCCATGGCCTCAAAGAAGAGTGAGACTCACATCAGTAGAAAGAAAATGAAGAGGGAGCCCCAGACAGAGCAGACAGGAAGGGTAAAAGATTGGCAATGGGAGTAACAAAGGCATTTCCCATGGAGGACCTCGTGTGGCTGGAGAATGGTGCAGGGAGAGCAGCAGGAGATGAAACCAGGACTCCCTGGAGACCAAAGTAGGGAGCCTGGACTTTCTCTCATGGGTCATGGGGACCCTCAAAAGGTCTGTGGGCAGCAGGGACCTGGTAAAGCTAGACTTTGAAAAAATACCACCAGAGGGCCACACAGGGGGAGCCTGAATGGAGAGACAGAAGGCAGGGAAGCAAGTCAACTGCTGGTCCTTAGGGATCCAGCCTGGGTGGCTGGGGTTGGTGATGGAGCCGCCCAGTCACTTCCTACCCAGGATTCCGGCATACCTCTCCAATCTCACTGAGTCTGACTCCAGGTGAATCTCACTCCCCAGCATCCTGTTCAAAATAACCCTGCCCGCATGGAACTCCCAAAGCAACAGTCAACGGGCAGGGTAGGCAGTGGTGTGGGGCAACCCCAGCACGGCAGGAGTGATCAAGACCAGGTAGAGGAATGTAGGTTGAAGGTGTGTCAGAGGCCCGGGGAATTAGGCATTCACTGCCCCGGTCAGAGTTCAGAGATCAGCGACCAAATGATTAAGTAAGAGACGATTAGAGGGAGGCCCAGAAGGCAGGTAAAGCCCAAGTGAGACCATAACCCCCAGGATCCTTGTTCTCAGGAAATGGGGGCCCCTGGTTTGGGCCACTCTAGCCCTCTAGCCCTCTAGCCCTCTGCCAGCCATATCTTTCTCCCCAGATGTGAAGTTTGCAGGGTGAGGGGTCATGAACATCTAAAGTCTGAGCCTGCTTCTAAACCACATTCCTGGTAGCCGGGGCCTCAGAAGTGTGGGGGAAGGTGGGATAGAGTTTGGAAGAAGCAGAGGAAAATTTATGAAGAACTGTTGCCAAATCAAACTGAACCCTGGGAAGAAAGGCGTCAACATTTTAGAAGGCGTATCTGGATTTTATGGGACAAAATTGTCCCTTTTTCCTGCCTTTTTCTGCCTTTTCCATAAATACTTACAGGTTTGGTAAGGCTTTCTGAGTTAAACTTGTGTTCCTTTTAACTGGAACACCAGGCAGAGATAGGCCAGAAGAGGGCACAGGGTGACCCAGATTTATTCGGGTCATGTGCGTGCATGGAAGCAGAGTCAGAGGGGAGTGGGGGTCCCATGTCCAGGACTATGCAGCCTGATGCATATCCAGGCTGCAGACTGGCCCTTTCCTGCCCCGGACTGCCTCTCCCTCCACTCTCTCAACAAAGAACCCCAAGGAATAGTTTCGCTCTTGCCATCTCACTCTCTCTCTGAACCTCAGGGATTTCAACTGAGAAAAGTCGTTTGCCTATCAGGGCAATGAATGATTGGAGTGTGGCCATCCCGGCGTTCAACAATTATGAACAATCACCGTTCAGAGACTCCTGTAAACAAGACAGACACAGCCCCTGCCCTCACAGGCCAAGAGGAGAGCCCTTCAGGAAAGCACTGTTACTATAAAAGTAGAAGTGAAAACAGACATTCATTGAGTGCTCATCAAGTTCTTCTTGCACATGGATTCTTACAGCAACCTTATGCAGCAGGTGGTATCATTGCTATTCCCATTTTAGAGAAGGTTAAGAGGTTAAGCAGCTCACCCAAAGTCTCATGGCTAGCATGTGGCTGGCTGAGTTGGGATTTAAATCTCAGGCTCTCAGTCTGCATGCTGTCCTGCTGCTCTAAGCAGGTAGGTCCACAGTGTGATTGAGCCCCTGGGGTGAGGGAGTCTGAGAGGCTTCCTGGAGGAAGTGACGGTGAGTCAAGTGAAGGAGGGGGTGGACAAGAGTGTTCAGGCAGGGGGAATAGTGTGTAGGAAGGGAGCTATTCTCTGTGCTTAGTCATTCAATCCCGTCTGACTATTTGGGACCTCGCGGTCTGTAGCCCGCCAGGCTCCTCTGTCCATGGGATTCTCCAGGCAAGAACACTGGAGTGGGTAGCCATGCCCTTCTCCAGGGGATCTTCCCAACCCAGCAATTGAACCCACGTCTCCTGCATTGCAGGTGGATTCTTTACCAGCTGAGCTACCCAGGAAGCCCATTCTCAGCCCCTATCAGGGAACAAAAGACAGAGGGGCATGGGGAAGGCTGGAGAGGGGCTGCTAGCAGAGGTGGGTGGGGGGGGCTACAAGCAGGGAAATCCACAGCTGCTGTCGCCCGTCCCCCAATCCCACGACAGCCTCAGACAACGTCCCCCTGGAGAATATTGCCATGCCTGAAACATACCTTTGGATCAAACCATGCTTGCGCCCCTTGGGGTTTACCCAGGCTGGCAAGGAAGACAGCCAAGGCAAAGTGAAGGGACAGGAGGTGGGTAAGTTATGGGCTGCCCTTCCAGCTGTGTGCCCTTCCCGTCTCCCTGGGATCTCTGCTCATTTCATCCCAATGGCGTTGTGGGTTCACAGGGACGGCTTGGGGAAGGAGTAGGGTTTGCACACGCTGGGATGAGGGAAAGGGCCGGCGCATAGAAGAATCTGAAAAAAGGCAGCAAGCCTGATTGGCAAGGGCCAGGCTGGGAACAGCATCCAGTGCCAGGAATTTGAACTTGAGTGATGGGGAGCCAGTGAAGGTGGCTGATCAGGGGAGAAAGCCAGGACAGGAGCTGGCCTTGGGCAGCTGGCTTATCCTCAGCTCTTCCTGCCTCCCCGGCCAGTGCTTCCAGCTCAAGGGGGCCCTCTCAGCCCCTCGCAGGAGAGAGCAGAGTGTGGGCCTTGCCTCCGCCTGCCAGGGACCGGAGCCAAGAGCCCTCAGCAGCTCGGAAGGGGGCCATGTGCGGGCCCGCCAGGAACCCTGGAAGAGGAATGTGGCCTAATTAATTCTCCAAAGCTCAGAGGGCCTCGCCTTGTGGGAGCAGCTGCCAGGACAGGCCTGCCAGGACGCCACGGGCCCAACCCGTCTATCACTCAGAGCTCGGGGACAGCAGGCTGGAAGCCTGGAGACAGGGGCCCAGGGGGCCAGCCCCTTGCCTCCAGGTACACACGTGTCCTCCAGCCCCTTCACAACAAATAGTGCAATAATAGTAATAGTAATAGCCAACAGGCCTTGAGGGCTTAACGTGTGTCAGACTCTGTGCAAAGCCTTCACTTCTCATCTATTCACTACAAAGGCCCAGTGACAGGGGAACTGTTACGATCTCCATTTTGCAGATGAGGAAACTGAGGCTCAGCATCAGTGAGTGATGGGTGAATTTCCCTGGCCGGGATCCTGCAATCAAAAA